TTTCCCTTTGAGGTTGCTGTAGGTGATCCAGAAGTCTGTTTTTGAGGCTTGTTTACGTGTCTTCTCATTTCCACAGGGGAGGGGGGTGGGTGTGCTTCTGGCACCCACACGGCTCACCTTCTCTGCCCTAGGAGCTTGGGATGGCGGCCTCTTTTGCCTTTTCAAAACCTTTGCATATGTATCATTTTTCATCATTACAATAACCCTTTCATGTTCAAGGAATCAAAGAATTGAACTACAATGACATTAAATAAATTGAGAGCAGAGCCAGATTCGAAGTGTGTCTCTGAGCTCCAGGTTTTTCCAGCAGACCTACTGCTCACAGCAAGGCCTTGTCTGCCTTCCAGAAACCCAAATGGTGCCTGGTGGCTAACAGGCTTTTGTCCATAGCCCTCTCACCTTTCCATGGTTTTTTTTTTAGACAAGGTCTTGCTGTGACATTTAGACTGGTCTTAAATTTAACTACTGTATGTAGCCCAGGCTGGCCTCAAACTTGAAGTGATTCACCTACCTCAGCCTCCCAAGTGCTAGGATTACAGATGTGTGCTACCATGTGTGGCTCTACATTATCTGAATATTCCTGTGATGATTAGAGAAAAGCTGAAGCCTCTTCTCCCTCTGACTTACCTAGATCTACAGTTACCCCTGGCTTGTTCACTGTAACTCAGCCCGTTGCCTGGAGATAGCACAATGCTGTAATGCCCACCAAAGTTAGAGCCAGAACACCTAGGTTCTGGCCCTATTTTGCACTAACTAGTCATGTGATCATGATCCTTAATTTCTTTGGTCCTCACTTTCCTCATGTTCAAAATGAGAACTGGTACAAAAAAACTCTTTGGCCTACATGTGGTGACATATGTCTGTAATCCCAACATTCTGGAAGGCTGAAGCAAGAACATCACAGGTTCAATCCCAGCCTGGGCAATTTAGCAATTTAGCAAGATCCTGTCTCACAATAAAAAAATTAAAAAGGGCTGGGAATGTAGCTCATTGTAAAAGCCTCGGGTTCATTCCCCAGTATCCCTACCACCACCACCACCACCATCACCACCACCACGTTTAACTATTCTCTTTGGTAAGACTGTTTCTAGTTTCAAGAGTATGATTCTTTGACTCAACTGTTTCATAGTCTATTCTTAGCTTGGTTTAATGTATCAGCTATTTTACCTATAGTTCCTTAGATTAATGGTCTCTGGCTTTAAATACTTAACACCACAGAAGAATATGCCCTAGTAACTCAGCTACTAATCAAGATCCCAGTGGCAAATGGTGCCAATGTAGGTGACTTACTCTTGGTCATGCCCCAGCCTGTGATGTAGCAGGGAGTGTCGTTAGCCAGGATGACTCCTTCCTTGGGCAGAGTACCTAGCTGCACGTTGCTGTTGAGGGTAATACTCTTGGCCAGGCGCAGCAGGGCGATGTCATAGCTACAGGAGAAGAAAAGTCACTCTGGAATCAAACCTTCCCTCAGGTCAGCACCTGCACTAAGGTCAGCCTTTGTGTCCCCATGGAGTTGAAAACTAAATTTAAATGAGGGGCTAACTTGCTAAGTAACTAATTTGAGCTGTGGGACATTCTATGTTTAACAGCAGCATCTGCTGGTGGAATATCAGTACTGCAGCCTCGTGCCCACGCGAGCCAGGGAGGTGACAACTGGGGAGTCAGAAAAGAGTAGATGCATGATTGTGATCTTGGTGGCAACGTTCTCAAAAGCAAAAGACATAAAATATTGTGTGGCTCTGAAAGCTCTGCAGAAATTCCTCAATCATTTGAACTCTGTACCTCCATACTCTTTAGAATTAACTCCTGCTTTTTTTTTCTTTTCCAGTGCTGAGGGTCAAATCCAGGGTCTCTCATATGCTAGTCAAGCACTCTGCTATGGAGCTAAAACCCCATCTCAGTCCTAGCCATGTTTTCATGATTTCCTGTCCAGAAGTCTACAACTCCCTCTTGCAGATCTCCTATGTAAGACTCACTTTAGGAAATGTCTTTTTGAGCTGCAGGTATAGCTCTGTGGTAGAGCCCTTGACTAGCATGTACTAGGCCCTGGGTTCAATCTCCAGGACAAAAAAAAAAGAAGAAAAATTTCTTTTACTGACGGAATCTATTCCATACAATGAATAATACATAACATCAAAAAACAAGGCAGAAACATTAAGATCTACAGAGAAGAGACTTCAGGTAATCCAATAATGCAAACCCTCTTACATCAAACTAATCGTAAAGATCTTCTGAAATTCTGAAGCTCTTCCAAATCTAAATTCTCAACGTCCTCCTGGATGAATGAGCCAGCTCATTGCTTCCCTGCAGGACATAGTTTCCTCTCTTGAGCTCAGCTGGCTCCTCATCCAAAGGTCAGGCCATGAGCCACAGACCAAGTTTCCAGACAGTGAAATCCTGCTGGCCCTCTGGCAAAAGATATGATGGAAGCCAAGACCCTCTACCTCCCAGCCTAGGGCCAGCCTGACTTTGTTCTTACCCAGCAGCCACATTGTTGGTGTTCCACTTTGAATGTATCACAATCTTCTGCACACTCACAGTCTGCTCAGTGCCTTCACTCTGCTTCAGGTTGTGTTCTCCAACAACCACACGGAAGGTTAGTGAACTGGAGTGAGAGAAAGAGACTCTGAGTGATCCAGGGAGCTCTCTTGTCCCTTTAGAGAAAGGTTGGAAAGCCATCTTATATCTTATCCTCAGGACAGGACTCTATCTTATCTGGCTCAGGAACAGGAGAATGAAAGAGCCTCAAAGATGAAGAAGTAACAAGCTCTTTGCTCTCTGATTTACTAACTTGTGAGAGTGAAAAACACTATCAACTTCATTTTCACATCTCATAACCTGGGACAAGTGTGGTGAGCATAAATAAAATAATGGCTGTGAGCCACAAGGCAATTTTGAGGGGAGTATAAACTTTTTTGTTTGTTTTGTTTTTGAGACAAGGTCTCACTATGTAGTTTGTCAGTAGGCTGACCTTGAACTCACTATGTGACCCAGCCTGGCCTCAAACTCAACAGTGATCCTCCTGTCACAACCTCCTGAGTGCCGGGATTACAGGTGTGTACCACCATGTCTGGCTTAGATTAGTAATTCTTAAAGTGTGGTCCTCCGTCCACAAACATTAGCCATTACCCAGAGACTTGTTAGAAATGCCTATCATCAGAACTAGGCATGGTGGCACATCCCTGCGATCCCAGCACTCTGGGAGGCTGAGGTAGGAGGGTTGAAAGTTTGTGCCCTGCCCAAGCAACTTAGTGATTTTGGTGAGACCCTGCCTTCAAATAAAATATAAAAACAGGTGGGGTAACCGCCTCTTTATTTCTCAGCACCATCTTTCCTTCTTGTGCTGTGAAACACCACCCATCCATCCAGTCTGAGAAGGGGAGAGGGAATCATGCCTGGATTGGGCCAGCAGAGCTCTCGCTGTGTGGACGTGTAGCTGTGTAGCTGTGCTGCCTTCGCTGCAGCAAGGTTCCATTGTCCTCGTGTGCATCCTTGCCTTTCCATTTCCTTGTCATCCAGCCTGCCATCCTGCTGACCCTCACAGTGCGGCCTGTTCTACCTGGCGCCCCAAGCTATGCCTGTTAAATCTGTTTCTGACTTGGCAGGATGGTTCTGTGGTCTGGCAGTTTTTATCTACCTTCCCTCTTAAATGGGTCTCCAGGATGCTGCCTCTCTAGGAACATTTCAGGAGCCAACACTTCTCTTGGAAGAATGTGACCCTCTCTTGTGTCTTGCACGGTTTGTCATCAAAGGGCTTCTAGGTGGAAATGACCTTGAAAGGTCACCTTGGTGGCTTGCCCAGGTCACTATACCTCTGGCATCTGATTCTCAGCTTATGCACCTACATGGCTTCTCTGGTGAGTGCTGTGCAGGTCTGCTTGGCTTTGGGTCACCGTCACCACCAGAGTGGCTGCAGAGTTGTTAGGACCTTCTCATGGCTCTTTGAGCAAAGAAACCAGGAGCCCCTTAGCACCTCCTGCACTCACACTGCAGCATGGCGTATGCCTCGGTGTGATGACACAGGAAGATCTCTCCCTTTACATTTCCAACTAGAGCAACTAGTATCATGGAAGTGCCTAACTTATCCCAGTCCAAGAGAATTAAAGGTTAGCCTCAATGTCCTGAAGTTCTACACAAAATTCTTGTTTTTGGTTTTCTGGGGGGTTTTTTGGTACTGGGGATCGAACTCAGGACCTTGTGCAAATGAGGCAGACAAGGCGCTAGAGTTAAATCCCCAGGCCACAAAATTCTTTATGAATTTTACACTTGGCAGTTGTTAATGCGGAGGCCATAGTCAGCTCCTACTACAGCCCAAAGCATTGAATGTATTGTCTTTGCTGCCCGGTTACATGACCCTCCTAGCTCCTGTCTGGACCCTGCTAATCCCCTGGGGACAAGGGGTCTGGAACTAGTGGCATTGAGGTCATTAAGTGAGCCAGAGCAATTTCTCTGCCAAAGCCAACTTAGACCCCAGTGAATCGGGCCGTTGCCGTCTTCTGTTTTGTGAGTCCCTTCGTCCATACATCTGCCCTTGGCTGACTCTGTGACTGGCTGCTTGGTTGCTTGCTTGTTCCCTTGCTGTCCGAGATGTGTGAACAGTTCTTTAGGAGAGGAACTGCTAAAAAATCCCAGTGCAAAGGGATGAACAAAGGTGGGGAACAGGAGTGGCCAGGCTGGATGGCGTAAGTATAAATGCACGAGGAATCCTTTGTGAGGTATCACTCTGGCTTCATGATCAACGTGAAGTAATACAGGAATTATGTAAAAGGGAAGAACTGTATGATAGTGACCTGCTAGGAGTCAGAAACTCCTTGGTTTGCATATTTAAAGTTCCTAAGATTATGGCTTTCCCCCTGTTTGGCTGGATAGCAAACTGTTTTAATCCACAGTTGTGCCTTCCTGTCCCATTAAAATTGTATTGTTCATTCTGTCAATAAATACTCGTGGTTAAAAAAGAAACAAAACAAAAAACCAGGTGGGATATATAGCTCAGTGTGAAGCCCCTGGGTTTAATCCTTAATATCTCACACACACAAAAGGAAATGCCTCTCCTTAGCACTTGGGAGGCTGAAGCAGGAGGATCACCTCGAGTTCGAGGCCAGCCTGGGCTACACAGTGAGTGAAGGGCCAGCCTGAACTGCAAAGTGAGACCCTGTCTTAAAAAAAAAAAGGAGGGCCAGGAATTTAGCTCAGTGATTCCAGTGCCTGCTGCGCAAGTGTAAGATCCTGAGTTCAATCCC